AATTGGTAACCACGGTCCAGAACACGCCGCCCTCCATTTTGTGTTTTTATTCTGGTGAGCCCATTCCAGTGTCTTTGTGATTCATTATTTGTGATCATTTTATTTTCTTACTTACCACATTTTCTTTGTTTTTTGCAAGGGATTATACAGACGAGAAGCCATCTCCTTATGCGGTTAGCGCCGTAGGATCTGTCATGTTCAAACAGTTGCGTTAGCCCCTCCAACTTTTTGAGAGAATGATCTTCGTTATGGGTATTGCACCTAGAATCCGTTTTTTACATTCGTAGGATTTCTTCTGATTTCGCCATGTATAATCAGCTAATATCGTTTTTCCTCAGAGTATATCCTCGCAGGTGAGAGACATCATATTTTGCCCCCTCTTGTAATGAAATACGAGACTCTTAAACAGGCTATTATTCAGCGAATCACGCCTTCTGACAAGGTCCGTCTGCAGCAACTATTTAGTGATCTGCAACTAGGAGATAGGATGCCCTCAGCCTTGTTGCGCGAAATGCAACAGCTCATCGGCACGTCCAACATGGACGTAGGGATTCTCCGCGAGCTGTGGATGCAACGCCTTCCTGAAAGCACTCAGGCTATCCTTGCAGTAGCAAGTGACTTGCCAATCACAGCAATTGCAGATCTGGCAGACCGCGTCATCGAACGGCACCAGCCAGAGACTGAAACCAAAGCACCTAAGCAGCTTTGTGCTGGCGCAACCACACCGACACCCGCGACTAGCCAGCCGTCGGCAATAGACGCATTATCATCGCAGATAGCGTCGCTTCAGCGCCAGATCGAGGAGCTCACTTTAAACCGTAAGCACCGCAGCCGCTCTGGATCATCGCCCCGTCGCACAAAACCTGATGCCCCAGGTTACTGCTTTTACCACTCGCGTTTCGGTAATAAAGCCCGTAAGTGCGTACAGCCATGTAGCTACTCCGCTACAGATGATCCGCCACGCCGGCCTGTAATGGCCACGAACGACGTCGGCAAAACTCAAAGCCGTCTCATCTACATTAGGGATTATGATTCCGAGACCCAGTTCTTAGTTGATACCGGGGCGGAAGTCAGCGTCATTCCCCTATGCCAGGTGAGCCTACCGCTTCTTTGTCGACAAGCCTAAGTGCCGCCAATGGCACGCCAATAGCCACCTACGGTCATCGGTCGCTTACCCTGGACCTAGGTCTTCGGCGCACGTTCCGCTGGGTATTCACCGTTGCTGCAGTCCCCTTTGCCATCATCGGCATTGACTTTCTCAGGCATTTCGACCTCTTGGTCGATGCGAAACGCCAGATGATAGTCGACACTGCAACGAAACTCAGTGTACGTGGCATCAACGCCGATATCGCATCTATCACCCCGGTCTACGCCTTTCCCAGACCTCGCCGACTACGCAACCGCTTTTCCAGTATTCAAGCTCGTTCAGCCAATGAACGCAGCTTTGCCCGTGGCATCCCAAGTCACGCACCACATACGGACGAATGGCCCACCCGTCTCATGCCGTCCACGCCGACTATCGCCCGAGAAACTAAAGGTAGCTAGGGCGAGTTTGAGCACATGCTCGAACTTGGAATAATCCGCCCTTCCGACAGCCATTGGTCCTCTCCCCTGCAGATGGTCCCCAAGCAATCTGGGGACTGGCGCCCTTGCGGTGATTACCGGCCACTCAATCGGCTAAGTGTCCCAGATAGGTATTCCATCCCACACATGCAGGACCTTACCGCAAGCCGCACAGGTAAGACGATCTTCAGAAATATCGAGTTGGTTCGTACCTATTACCAGATACCTGTAGAAGAAATGACATTCCTAAAACAACCGTTATCACTCCTTTCGGCTTGTTTGAATTTTTAGGCATGCCATTTGGACCGTGCAACGCTACACAGACCTTCCAAAGCTTTATCCACGATGTCACTCGTGGCCTAGACTTCGCTTATTCCTACTTCGATGATATTTTAGTAGCCAGTTCATCGGAACAAGAGCACCTCGACCAACTTCGAACTCTCTTCCAGCGCTTGACCTAACACGGTGTCACAGTCCACCCGACTAAGTGCGAACTCGGCAAATCAGGGGTAGAATTCTTAGGCCACCTCGTTTCATCGTATGACATCGAAGTCCTTCCCGATAAGATCCAGGCAATCAAGGACTTCCCAGCTCCAACTTCGTTCAAGCACGTCCGTCGATTTTGTGGTTTGGTCAACTGCTATCGACGTTTCATACCACGCGGCGCTCATTTAGGGAGGGTCAACAATGCCGTTAGAGGCATCTGAGTCAGCTATCTCCATGTGAACTGGAGCGTCCGTTAGGTTGAACGACCCATCAACGGATGGAGTGTCAGCAGGGGAACAATCCGCTACAGTGTCCTTATTCTCAATACTCAGGGATTTCATAATCAAATCCAATTTTGTGTTGAGCGAGATAAGAGAGGCAAGCTCGGTTAACGCCTTCATAAAAACTGTGAACCTGGATCCCACTGCTTTGAATTCAGCACAGGTGAAAGCCGGAAGCTTCGCTTTCTGAGCGCAACAATCAGCACATCTAAACAGAAAGTTTGCACTGAATGATAGCATTTTGTACTGGTTCGCTCAGAGGCCGGTACAACTTTTGTGCGACCAACGGGAGAAAACATCACGCTGCATACAACCAGATGAATTCGTGACTGGCCTTGAACGGGTGGCATTGCCGCAAGCCGCATTTGAGTCATCAAACGAGAGTCCAAGGGGTTCATCCGCCTCGGTTTTTAACGAGAGGACCATGTTTAAATTAAAGAAGCGGAGCAGAATTTAAAAACAGAATAAACAATGACTTATCACTGGTAAAATGGTATGCGCTTGATAAGTCCCCTGGGATGGTCGGAGTAAAATTTAAAATTTGAAGGATCATCAAATAAGTAAATCGTTATTTTAAGCGTCTACCGGTTTAAATGCACCACTGCCTAACAATAGTTTGAAGCGGGAATGGGATGTGTACACATAAAATAGTAGCAAGTGCCGTTACAGCTCAGTAAATGCGTGAGAAATCAAATAGGAAACGACAACGCTCACTCATGTGTTGCTTCATTTGACAGATGTGGTATGTTATTCCAGTTCAGATACATCCTGGCTATTCACATGGGCACTACTGCATGTATCCTCATCGCCACGTTGCGGAGAGGGCCGTTAAGCACATGGCCGGTGGCCGAGTGGTATGCGCGTCTGGTTGGCAACCATAAGGTCACCGGTTCGAATCCGCGTAGGGGCGGGCGTTCTCGCGGTATACTCATCCCACGCGCGACTGGTGGTAGTCGCGTGGCAGCAAAGCGCCGTTACGGTGTACAGCTGGCGATCTACTTTTTATACTCAGGTTTACTTTATTTCGTCCTACAGGTGGAAGGAATTACATTAAGTAATGTAAGTTGGAAAGCGTTTCATCAAGGCGTTTTTTGAAAAGCGTTAATGTAGGGGAAAGGATAACGTGAGTCGGAAAGGCACTCAAGGCACGGGACACGGAGGGAGCAAACGTTCCGTCGAAAATCAAACCGACTGTAGTGGGTAGCCAGTTTGAGCTGATGGCCTATCAAGTTGATATGTTGGCTCTGCTGCAACAGGTTGCGACATAGGTGAGTTGGATTCGTCAGTATTAAGGAAACCATGATTAGGTTTTCTCGCTGATGTCGATATTCACCACTGTACAATCTCAGGGACTACAGTCTGCACTGGTAGGAGAGATGAAACAATCCTCTAACGAATTCGGTCGCTATACGTTGTGGGACTTCAAGCGCACCGACGTCGCGCTTGCGCCAGCGAAGCCAGAGCTGGATCGCATATTCCACGTGTGGCCTCATGTAGGCGTCCATCATTTGCGGAAAGATTGATGACTCAAAATTCCCGAAAGCCTTCTGTAAGAGTCCAATATGTTGGATGGCTCTCTTTGATGCCTTTTCAGCCTGCCTCGAGCAACTGCACGATCACCGCGAGGTCGTTTTCTTGTGAAGCATGTTGTAACTGCTGATTCCCAAGTCGATATTCATAGATAAGCTAATGGCGTATGTTTACGAATTTGCACTTGGCCACATTGAACTGGAGCCGATCATCGGATGACCACGCGTGAGCACGTATACAACCATAAAACGACCACAATTAAAAGGCAAAACAGGATGTCAACCTGGATTAAAAATGGGAACACACGTAAAAAGCTACCAGCAAGCATCATGGAGACGCAATGTCCAGTACCACTTTAATCGATGCAAGATATCTTGGATCGAAGAAAATTTGATAAAAATCAAATTTCGCTTGATGTGTTTGCTCTAAGTTTGTTTTCCATAATATTGCAACTAAAAAGTTCGACCAGAATGGCACGCGAAAGAATCAAGTTACCGCATACCACTTCAACGTCAGAAAGGGCTTAAAGCATTGTGTCCAAACACCCCTCGTGCTAGCCAATCTCTATGCACAGGTCACTGTCCGAATGTAACTGAGCCTCCTCGACCAGACAAATATACAAACTTGAATATGCGCACAAGCAAACTTGCAATGCATCACCATTTCCACAATTGTCCAACATTTCGTAGAAGTAAAATATAAGCAAGCAAGTAGTTTCATTTATATTAGCTCCGTTAACTTATTCGCTTTAGTCTTCGCTGTGGCTGATATATTCAACGCCCAGTCCTGAGTACCGTTCAGATTTTGTCTCCGCTGCGCCATACACCACCGTCTGATGTCGATGTGAATATTACAAGCAAGCTACATGCGTGAAACCGGCTGAACGCTGACAACCAGCCCCGATAGGCCGCAACATGCCGGTGAACTGATTACTGTTCAGTTCATTCAAACACCAAAACAATCATACTTTAGATGCTTTGAAGCCGAATACTCGTTAAGCCAGTTTAAATTGAAAGCTTAACATGGTGGTACCTTCCCAGAGTTGGTACACCTAAAGCTGCCTTGCAAACGTTTATCACGTATTCGGATCAATTTTTATGAATCCGCGGTCTAATGGGAAAATTACGCTCACCAGCTTACCATTGATAGGCTTCCTCCACAGCCTTCCAGTGGGATAATTGCTTCCAAGTATGTGCTGAACTCGTCCACTTTAAATTGACAATTTGAGGGGACTTCACCGACAAGCTTAACCATGCTAGAATTCAAATCCGGGTTCAGGGTTAAATTGTATCGCACGGTAGCGTGGGTGTGGTTGCAAGTAAGTTCAGGCTTGTACGGACCTGTGGAAACGGTTTGGAGGTAACAGCTGTAATTGCTTCACAGCAGAATGGCAATAGAATCTTGTTGGCATGCATTTGCACACCAATAAAAGTAAATATAGATCAGTATTTATGAACTCAGACCGAAAGAATTACATAGAGCAAGCCTACGGAAGTCAACCTGTTACCTTCACCCCATGAACATAGTGGCTCGTATACCGTGCCAACAGGTCCGGGATCAATTGAAAATGATATTATGGAAGAAATTAGAAACATTGTCACTATCATAGTGACAGGCAAATACAGTAAAGTATTCTCGACTTGTTGCAATAAAAGTCCGGGAAGGACACATTACCAAACCGGTATAAAAGGTCTAAAAAGATGTGTGTCCGTTCGTTTCAGAAGGGTTGGGTAGCTTTTGTACCAGACAATTAGCTACTACGGGAGTTCGACATCTAGTTTGATAAATTGAAGCTAGAATCGATTGAACAGGTGTGTACGATACAGCATATGAGTAGCTTGGACGTACAAATTCTAAATGAGCAAATGCTTAATTTGATAGACTCCTTATAACTGGCACTTGCCATCATTCAAATTGGAGGGTTAAGGAGTGCAAGCAAGTTACCGGTCGTATCGCATAAATAAATTAATGGATAGTACCTTGTTGCTATGACTTGTAGCGTTTGTGGGTTGTTTTCTTACCTGCATTATATGTTAGGTTTTACGACAGCTGATCGCAGAAATCCCGAGCACTAGTGAATGTTTATTTTTTTCGAATCTCTATTAGTTAGCACCTGAACACCCTACTGTATGGCAAATGGATGCATCTTACAAACCGCAGTGGAATTACACCGTGTTTACTCAAAAGCGAGGCTGTTACGTTCTCGACCTGCAAACGTGTGGTGAATCTACAGAAGATAAATTACTATTTATTTTAAAACTCTTGCCCAGCTATATTCGCTCTCTTTCAAAATTCACAGGAACATGTTACTTGAGGTGTTAAATAAGTGCATGGAAATTGGGTGTTGTCCACATAAATTCTCAACACCACGACCGATGTAAAAACTAATCGTCTCCTTTATCTGATATATTGCACTTAACTATGTTTACTTCCGCTACTCACAGATCATCATACAGCACTTATTCATTTGTTATCAGTCATTTTTGTCCGGTACCAGCCGATGTATGGTCCCATGATTCTAGTACCTATGGTTTCGACCAAAGGCTCTACAGGCAGTAGCTAGTGATCTAGCAGGACCACTGGCTGTTTTCTATCAGCGATGTCTAGCGGAAAACCTTATTCCACCAGTATGGAAGCAAGGGGTCATCACTCCTATTCATAAAGGAGGTAGCCTCACTGATCCTGCAAACTACCGTCCAATAACACTACTTCCCGTACTATCCAAAGTGATTGAATCAATCGTCGCAGACGCGCTGATGCAATATTTGGAAAGCCACAATTTAATAGCCCCAGAGCAACATGGCTTTCGTCAAAAGCATTCGTGTAATACTAACCTATTAATTGCACGTAATAGCTGGACTGAAGCTGTTGATGATGGGGTTGGAGTCGACGTCATCTACCTGGACTTTTCAAAAGCGTTTGATCGTTTAGACCATCGAGTTCTCCTTCAGAAGCTTCGGAACTACGGCATTGGCGATCCAATCCTGAGTTGGATTAATAATTTTCTACGAGAACGACGGCTAATGGTGAGAGTCCGAGAATCATTTTCTCATGCAATCGACGTGACGTGTGGAGTACCACAAGGCTCGGTTCTTGGACCTCGTCTATTCTTGGTGTTCATTAACGATTTGGCGAGATCAATTACTTCTGATTTCTTACTTTTCGCTGATGATATCAAGATATGGCGAAGGATCAGAGGACCGGATGACCATGAACGGCTCCAGCACGATCTTAACACAGTGTCGAACTGGTCAGTTCATAACGCTCTACCGTTCAACGTAGACAAATGTCGCGTAGTACAATTACGCCATAGACATAACTACACCTACATACTTGGGACAAACGAATTGCAGAATAGCTCCCAGGAACGTGATCTTGGTGTGATGGTACAGAGGGACCTCAACTGTTCAGAACAGGCTGAGGTAGCTGCCAAACGAGGCAACCAGCACGTCGGCATGCTGCGAAGGGCATTCGGGAGATTTGACCCATCAATCATCCCAATTATGCTCAATTCCTACGTGCGCCCGCATGTTGAGTACGCAATCCAAGCTTGGCAACCTTGGTTGAAACGCGACCTAGAAGCGATAGAGGCACCACAACGGAGAGCAACAAAGAACGTGAAGGGCCTGCGGTATCACTCTTACCACCGAAGGCTGAAGTTGCTGGGAATTTTCAGCGGACGCTATCGAAGGCTGCGCGGCGATCTCATATTAGCGTATCAGATATTGAGTGACCCCAACCACGTATGCCGCCATTTGCTGAAACTTAGCCACAACACGCAGCTTAGGGGTAACTGCTTAAAGTTGAAGGAACAATATAGCCGTCTAGAGTGTCGACGGAATTACTTTTCCCTTCGGTTTTGCAAACCTTGGAACGCACTCCCAGACTCAGTTGTATCCTCTCCTACCCTGGATGTTTTCAAAAAACGATTAGATGTTGCTCTCAGCTCCCAACATTTTGTTACCTAAGCTCCTCTGTTGTGGATTACGCCAAGCATGTTTTCAACAGGACTAATGTATCAAATGGACCTAAGTGAGCGACCTTTTTTTTCTCACTCCTTACCTCAACTATCACTGCGCCCCAGTGTCTTTCTGAATGTTTACGCGCGATATTTCTTTTTCATTTCACACTGATATTAATTATCAAAGTATTCATCTCGGCAGACGTTCGATAGATGACCCAGACATATTTTAATTGCCTCATATTCACCGCTACCATCCTACGGGACGTGTCAAGCACTTGCTTTTATCCCATGATAAATCATTGTTCATTGTTCACATATCTCTCCCAGTGGCCTTCGTTCGCCCTTGATCCTTGTTCCGTTTGATTACTTTCAATGTACCTAGACGCATTCAGATCGGACAGCATGCTGGTCGTGCACTTACCTGGATTCTCTCGCCACCGATGTTTGTTGTCTTTCCGAAACGAGCTTGCAGGATCACAGTACTCTGATGGAGTTGACCATTCCCAGCGACCACGGAACCATATTTCCCCTATATCTATGCAAGGACCCAGAAGCCGCCGCGGCCGGCTTGTCTGGATTTGGTGTACCATTAGGTAGCAAAGCACAGGGCGCACTTCTGGATTGATGTCCGAATAATAGCGGACTGTGCGCAGTACCACTGCGGAGATCATGCAGAATAAACAGATGTCGTGAGGAGAGACGCAAGTTGTTTGTGACCTGAGCGTAACCTCCAACTGCCGTTATGACTTGTTCGAGATCAACTTCTGAACAGACCTTGCAAATACGATATTGCTGCTCTTGCTGGGAATCTCAACTTACAGGTTAGTCGTCGTTTATCACGTGCAACTTACGTCGGTGGTCACCATACGCTCGATGAGAGCCGCTCAGGTAACGGAGAGATGTTTCTCACACTGCGTGAATACAATCGCCTGTTTCTCTCGAGCAACAATTTCGGGGATTCGAGGAGCCGTTCCGCTAGTTGGCGCCCACCATCTACTCAGTCATGGTCTCAGACTGACCACATCGCAGTCAGTTACAGATGGTGGGGTAGTGTAAAGGATTGTAGATCCATCTGGTCCACATTTCTTGACTCAGACTATGCTATTGTCTGCGCGAACATCTGCATGGTTTGGGGCGGGTCCTCGAAAACGAAGCAATTTGATATAGATATAGTAAACCATCAACTCCACAAGTTCAGCAGAGCTACCAATATTCCTCGGCCGATGCACTCAGCTGCGACCCACCGCAAGACATTGATGAGCTGGACATCTATACAGAAGACTATGATATCTTAAGGACAGTCGATCATTGTTTTATCTAGCAACTTAGGAAAGCCTGGATCTCCACGCTATCCCTGGATATATTTGACCGCCGCAAAAATATCCTAGCCGAGTCGAATGTTCATGAAATGCGCCATTCAGTCACCAGGCAGCTCAATAAAATCCTACGAAGTGATCGCAAAGCCGGCTTGTTTCAGTGTGTTTCGAAAATGCTTACGTCTGCCCTGTCTGACAACATCCATAAGCTCGTCAAGTTTATTTGATCAACTGGCCACAGGAAGTCTGGTGCAAAGCGGATGGTTCACCGCTCGCTAGTCTACGGAGAAACTTGGATCGATGGGCCGAACACGTCCACTCCCATTTCAATTGATCCACACCGTCTACTAGCTTGCCGTGCGAACGACATTTTCCGCTCTGGGAAGTCACAATTGATCCACCCAAAGAAGCGAGAGTTTGCTTTACGTATCGACACTTGCAGCGGTTCAACGTTGTTGGCTAAGATGGACTTCCTCCGAGGCTGTTCTATTATGGCAGTGCAGTAGTCGCCAGTCAGCTAACATAATTCTTCTCAACAATCTGGCATACATACGATATGCCTTCTTCCCAATGTGAGTCAATGATTGTCCCGATTCTTAAGTGAGGTACGTACACTTCATGCATCAATCATCGGGGGCTTAGTCTCATTTCGATTGCCTCCAAGCTGGTGGTGTCCATTTTACTTCGTAAACTATCCACAATTCGTGAATCGCAGTATTGAGAAGAACAAGCTGGATTTTGCCCTCGCCGTGGGTGTGCGGATCAAATTTTCATGCTCCAGCAAAACCTGGAACACCGTCATTCCTATTAGAGACCTACCATCGTTGCATTCATAGACATCCGTGCCGCGTTTGACTCGGTTGTTCGACCTGCAATATGGTGTAGCTTGATAAAGAACGGGGTCCCGAAAAAGTATCTTGTCAATCTGAGTACACCTTACCTCCATGTCTCCGGCAAAGTGGGAGTTTATGGCAAGATTTATTCGTCCTTCACTGTCAATAGCGGTATAAGACAGGGCTGCGCTATGTCAACGACCACTGCACCCCAGTGTCTTTCTGAA